TCATGATGTTATCTCTGATGATTATATTATTGACTTAGGCATTAGTAAATATTCTATATTCTGTGTTATTTTATTCATTCATTTATCTCTGAGTGATTCAGCTTCACCAATACCAAAAAATTGCAACTAGTTTGTCTGAACACTGGATCTTGTAATTCCCTTTCTCTTGCTATCCTGCATCACTGACTTTTTTCCCTCTCAGCTAGTCAGTCTAGCCAGTTTTTCCTCTCACCCTGAAGAAGGTGTCTTCAGTCAGTAAATTTCTCTAGACACTTTTGACTCTTTGGCCTAAATTTCCCCTGACTGTAATGGAAGCTCAGACAACTTGCTCACGTTTCATGCAAAAGTCATCACAAGATGTGAGCCCATGAAATAGCATGTATAGACCCCATTCAGCCTGCTCAGATTTAAATATGAAAACAATAAAATGATGTGTTCTCACTGAGGGTGGGAGCAAAGATGAATTTAATTAGTTAAAAATCGATTAAAATGTTGAACTGCAAAAAGCTCTATGAAAATTTTCCTTAAAGAAAAAAGGAAACCTAGCAACAGTTTCTGCAAATTTTACAAATGTCTTCTCACTACCTAAGGCAAACTAAAACTGTCTCAAGATGAAATTCTCCTCTTGTTGATGAAGATAAACCTACATTTTCTCTAGCATCTTCATTCATTTCATACTATGCACTATGTGAAAAATCTTGGGTACAGATCCAAACTTTGTTTACTGCTGTCAGTAGTTCCACTGATTGGCAGTTTTCCTATCATGTACTACCTAACTTTAGAGAAACGTGAAATGAATTTATAAACCCTGGGTTTTCTTCAATAATTAGATACAAGTAGGGACTGGGAAGGAATAACAAGGCCAGATCAGGACTACAGTGAAGTTTTTTCAAGACAAATATGATAGGAAAAAAAAAAATCAGGCCTTTAACATATTTGTGCCATTCTTTGGTGTAAATGAAAATTAGTTCCTAAAAGAACTAGAAATCTGAGGAATAGCCTGTGCCCAGGGGATCATCCCACTGTGTGGGAAGGGCAAGAGGTTTCAGGAGAGTGAGTCAAACTAATTCAGTGAGATAAAGTTATGTGCTGGGAGTCTGTAACCATGTAGGTAATCAGAGTCCAGGGGGACTGGGCTGGTAGTGGCTAATATCCAGAAAGGCACTTCAGCTTCCCAAATTAAGGGGAGAAAACAGTTTATGGAGTATAAAGACTTTTTCACAAAAGAATTATTACTGATATTCAAGTGATTGAAATATGCTCAATCTGGTGTGTGTAGGTGCCTCATGTGAAACAAGAGGCATGATTTTGGCAAAGGCAAAGGAGCAACAGATGCTTGTGACAACCGAGTTGTGTAACAGGCTTCTCTTTCTGCAACATAGTTGAGCTGTTTGTCACAGAAAGTTTAACTGAAATGTTAAGGCATCTGATACTAATCAGAGGGATATGAAAAAAAAATGGAGGTGTGATACATACAATTGGGGTATGATCTTGTTTTCCTTACATTGATATTTCACTGGATTCTGCATTTGCTAGAGTTGCACATAACCATAACCTCAGCTACTTGACCTTTTGTACCACCACAAGAATTTTGTATTTATCTTCATTATAAAATAAAGAAACAAGACCTGCAGCTGGTTTGTAGACTGACAGAAGGAAAGAGAGTGGGAATTATTTGAACAGAAGTGGCATTTGGTATAAATTGTAAACCCCAACATTTGTACTTTGCTGTGCTGAACTGGGTTCTGATACAGACATTTAGGCACTGGCTAATAAGAGTGTTTCAATAAGGTATCTGTCAGGTTGCACTGTTTTGACACCAGGGCTATTTAGAAACTATTTTTAGGTCACTGTGATGTCAGTGGTATTGTAAATGAGGTACTATTAGGCATGGAAATGAACTACTTTTAGACAGGGAAATATCTCACATATACTGTGGTGAATCCATAAGGACATACCTGCATTTGGTGATCTGAGTTATACAAAGTGCATTTAAGGAATAGCCACAGATCTCCCTAAAAGAAAAAACTTTACTGTTTGTGATTTATTTTGCCCTGCCAAGCCAAGAAAGTTGTGGCACAGAAATAGATAACAAAGCCCTGCCAAGTTTTTGCTTTGAAAGATACTTCTTTTGAGTGGCTGCAATAGTGTAAATAGAAAATAATTTCGCCTCTTAATTTCTGCTGAAGTAAACCTTGGCTTATTGTAATGATTTTAATATTTCTTATCACAATTGAACATAACAATATTAATTGAATCTTGTGTAATCTAACATAGGAACTTGCCCTGTCATGAGGAAAATGTCAGTCAGAAATCACAAATAATCATTGCAAAAATTATTAGGAAAAATAAGTCTTGCTCATTTACTATTCACACAAGTGGGTGACCTGTAGAATGCTTCCCAGTCTAGGAAAATAAAACTACATACAGTATCAATATTTGCATGTTATTAAATCAGCAACAGCAGATGTAGTCTGAATAGCTATGTAGTGTAGTTTCATATGAAGTACCTTCAGTAATATGCTACTGAAAATGAGAAGAAAGAGTTGATAATATGCAATTTCTGAAATTTATTGCAGTCTTGATCATTACACTGCACTTACTGCAGCAGACCTTACACATTACAGTAGTTTACAGTTGTATCACCTGTACATCAGTAATAACGATTAGCAATTAGCTACAAACAATTATTTCAGCATTGCTTACAAAACCAATTTCAAGTTGTCACTTTAAAAAGCTGCAGTAAAGACCAGGAGTTTTTCTTCAGGAAAATGTACATTTATTTTCAGGTACAATCTGACTTATTAAAGAAGCATATTTAAACTATAGCCACAAGCACTAACACAAATAGCTTTTCCATTCTCAACACAAATATAGGTTCATAGATTGAAGCTACCATGCATTTTTGATTTTTCATAAGAGAAAACATGGTTCAATTATATCTGTTCCTTAATTTCTGCTACCCACTTTGCCCTTCACCATTTTCATCATCACTCTAAATAGTAAATCCAGCCTAATTCCTGGATGAGACAGCCCCCATAGCAGGGCAAACCTTGTGAGAAAGTGAATATTTCTCTTCCATTAATTAACATCTTTTGTCACTAATAACGAGATTGTACACGTACTAAACAAAAAAACAACAAAACCAACCATGTCATGTTCACAATAATTTCATGTGTGGCCTTGACTGCCAGAAGAGTGCTGGCCCATGAGCTGGAAGATGTGTGTGGGCAGGGACAGTTCACTCTCTGAGGGATGGAGCCAGCTGAAGCTCATGCAGCAGAAACAGGAGAGCAGGCAGTGGGGGAGTCACACTTCAGGGCAGTATTCTGTCAGATTTATCTGTATCTCCCCAGGATGAGTTTTAGTGTGGAGAGGGTGAGATGAGATGTCTCTTACAGCTTTAAGATATAATTTCTTGAGTTTATTTTTTTTTAAAGGAGTTAGAGTCTGCATTCACAGTTCATATATGATCACCTTGAAATTAATAAATGGGACTCAAAACAAAAAAACCACCTTGTATCTTTTTTAAGGCAGCACCAGGTTTATTTCAGGATTGCTCTCCAGAGGAGGCACTAGGCATGCTGAATGATTGCTGTTAAATGCTCAGTAACATGGATAATCACTAAAAGAAAGGAAGTATACCAATGCCATCTCAAAGTTCTTCTCTGTACCTTTTTTGCCTTCAAGAAAATATCCAAGGATAGTTGCATACAAAAAAAACCCATAGCCAAACTTCTTAAGTTCAATGTTTCTTAAGGAGACGTTGTCAGAGTGAAGCAGGACTAGAGATTATCTCTAATTGCCTCTGCCCCAAGACAGGATCAGCATTGTCATTGTCATATCTGGCAGAAGCTTACAGTCATTTTACTAGAGAGATGTCACAATTTACCTAGGCAATCTACTCCAGTGCTTAATTATCCTTATTCTTAGTCAGTTTTTCCAAATTCTTGCCTTGGTCTTCCTTAAAGCCCATTACCTCTTGTCCTGCCAGTGTAGCCCATGAAGAACAGATTGCAGTCACACCTGAGTATTCCCCAAGGACACTTTCCTGAAAAGAGCAGGACAGCAAGAGCATATTTTCTCATAAGAATTAATGATGGGGGAAATGCATACAGGGACTTATATACACGGTTTCAAATCACAGGGAGCAGGATCACTGGGAGGAGAGTCTCTTTTCTGTTGCTGTCCTTTCAGCATGGATCACTGTTCTAAAATTATCATCTGTGCCATCTATGAGACAATGCCCAAGAAAACTCTTCAGTGTAAGCATTCTTAATGTCTCTTTCTGGACAGTTGCATCTTCATCATCTTCCTGAGATAAATCAAAGCAAATCCATCAGAGGTGAGGGACAGAAAAAATGGGGCAAGGATGGTAGTTAGTGGAGCCCTGTATTAAATGGTCAGCAGCAGAAACTTTAAGTAGTGGACAGAGAAACAGAGGACAGTGAGACAACACTGTATTGCCTTAATGTCTGCTGAACCCTTCTACACACATAGAAATGATCATAGAGTTTTCCCAGTATTCTCTCTCCAGCAAGCCATCCAATACCTATTTGTTCCACCTTTTGTTGCTCTTCATATTTGCAAGTAGTAAAATGGGCTGACAGAGATGACCTGGTCATTCTTTATTTTGTGAATCATAATATATTTCTACTTTCTGAAGGGATTGGCTGCCTGAACTATGAGGTCTTTTTACTTTGATTTAATTATCTCATTATTCTTAATACATATCTCAAATTTGACTGCAGAATGGGGGTGAACAAATGCATGGGAGATGTATAATGCCTGTGAGAGTAAGGGGTGAAGGTGGCTATGGGAAGAGGTTAATGTGTGGCTGCTATGTGCCTTTGGAATGGACTCCATATGCCTATCGCCCATGTGTGACAAGAACAGTGTTTTCCCATCCCTCTGGCATGGGACTTTTGTTACTGGGGAACATAGATGGAGACAGGGAGCCCTTTCCCTGTATAGTGGCTGTGTGTGAAGTGTTTAATCACTCATTCCTCTGAAACAAGGCATTGGGGTCCCTCACACTGACCAAGTCCTGTCTGTACGGGGGCAACCATTTCCAGGGATGGCTTTGCCTTGCAACCCAATTGTAAAATAGCTGGCACTTGACAACTATTGGGGCTGCTGCCAGGGCCAGTCTGTGTCTGAGAAGTCACAACCCTCTTCTCCATATACATCTCCTCACTGCTGTCCTCTCCCTGGAGGCTTATGGCATGGGGCACGGGCTGCACCCAGGTGGTGATGGCAGCAGGAGGTACTGAGGATGGGACAGCTCCTTCCTTCTGGCAGGTGCTGTCATGGTGATAGGAAACCAGCTCATTGCTGAAGTTGATCCTCTCCACAGGCGATTTGGGTGTGCCACAGCAGCAGCACCGGCAGCCCAAGAGATTGCTGAAAGCCTTTCTGAAGTCTGCGTTGAAAGCATAGATCACTGGATTCACTGAAGAGTTGGCCCAGCCAAACCACACAAAGACATTGAAAGTGGTTTGGCCAATACAGAGTGACTGTCCTTCAGGGTCTCCCTGAAGGCTGGGCTGGCAGAAAGGCAGCAGGCAGTTCAGCAGGAAGAAGGGCAGCCAGCAGCAAACAAAGACTCCCATTATGATAGAAAGGGTCTGCAGCACCTTGGTCTCCTTGTGCAAGGAACTCCGCAAAGAGGAGGTGGGCTCCTTGCCAGGAGCCGGCCACTGGCCCCCGGCTCTCTCAAGGGTGGAGATGCGGCGGATCTGGGCCTGGGCAATTCTGTAGATCCTGGTATAGGTGATGATCATTATGGCCACGGGGATGTAGAAGCTGATAAGGGAGGAGGTGATGGCATAAGCGCTGTTCAATCTGACATCGCAGCGGGGTGTCCCAGGTAGCCAGGAGCCTGGATCTCTGCTGTCCTTGGCTTTATGCCAGTGTAGCTGCACTGGGATGAAGGAGATGAGGATCGAGAGAGCCCAGGCCATGGCTATCATGGCACAGGCAAGGCGCTGCGTCATCCTGCGCTCGTACCGAAAGGGGCTGGCAATGGCCCAGTACCGGTCCAGGCTGATGATGCAGAGGTGAAGGATGGAGGCAGTCGAGCACATGATGTCGAAGGCCACCCAGGTGTCACAAAAGTGGCTGCCAAAGAGCCAGGAGCCTCCAGCCACCTCAGTGACCGCCTTCCAGGGCATCACCAAGACGGCCACACAGAGGTCCGAGACGGCCAGTGACAGCACGAACCAGTTGGTGACCTTATTGCGGAGGTGGCGGAAGCGCAGGATGGCGAGGCACACGAGAGCATTGCCCAGAAGCGTGCTCAGCACCAGGGCGCCCAGCAGGCACCCCGTGAGTGCCCGCAGCACCCGCGGGCCGTCCCCCAGCTCCGCGCTCCCCATCGGGGGCGCTGCCCGGGCCCTCCCGGCCCCTCCAGCCGGCGGGACCGCCCCGGCCAGCGCTGCCCGCGGCTCTGCGAGCGGCCGCCCCCGGGGGCATCTCCGCCCGCCGCCCTCCGTGTGCCCGCGGCGACGGCGGCTCGGGCTGGCCCGGGCTACTCACCTGCTGGGGCCTCGCCTCTCGCCTCCCGGCTCGCCGGGGCCGGGCTGGGTGCGCGTTCCGCCCGCGGCTCCGGGCGGTGCCGAGCGGCCCCGAGCGAGCGGGGCCGGCCGGGACGGGATCGGGCTCTTCCCAACCGCGCCGGGCCAGCTTTCCCCACAGCATCGCCCTGGAAGAGCCCTTTCCCAGCCCTGTGCTTGTCCGAGGGGCGGGGGCGAGGCAGGACCTGGCGCTTCCCAAGTGTCTCCTTTTGGAGACCGCGATCACATCCCAGCTCGGTTAGCGAGCACGATCTCACTTCGTGCAGGTTTAAGTGCACTGGGAATGCGCTCAAACCTGGCTGTCAGAAACTGTTTTCACCAAAATAGTGTTGAGCTGTTTATTTTTTGTTTTGAAATTTTATGTAATGAAAGAAAAGCACGGAAACTTAAGATCTCTAGTTAGGATCTGCTGCATTTTGGCAATAAGTTGTTAGCAGTACCCAAACCCTGCCTCTATATTTTTCAGCCGAAGGTGTTCTCTGATGTATTTCAACAGTCTTTTATTTGTTATTATAATAATATGCGTATTGCTATGTAAGTGCATATAATTACAGCACATATTTACAGCCTACATTCACTAAAGTACCCTAATGCAAATAGGGTATAATCCTTCGTTTTCAAAGAATTTTCGTGGTAATCTTGTCATGAAAAAAAAGAGATTAGGACATGAATAGAAAATATCAGTTAATGTAATTGATTGACATGGAAAATAGATGTTTATTTTTACACTATGTATTTTTTTATTTCTTTGCCTCTTAATTAAAACTACTCCAGTCACTAGTTCCAATACATATAATTTTCAAGCAGTAAGTATCTGATTTCCATTGTACTCTTATGATATTTCTGGTAATTAATAGAGAGAGTGGAAATTTTTAAAATAAATCTTGAACAGCATAGCTGGCAGCTTACCTTGTAAAAAAATCAGGATATTTAAACTAAACTAGCTGGATTGTACCATTTCATAACAGATTGTTAACATTTGGTCCTGTTTTTTAAGATTCTATTTTCTTTGTGCCTTGGACATGAGAGTCTTCATTAAGCAGCCCACTGTGTTATTCCTGCTATGATAGTGAAAATTGGAATACATTTCTTGTTAATGTGTTTATCTGTAAGACTAACTCATAATTCAAACAACTGCTGGAGAATCTTTTCTAATTAAATATATACTTTGTTAAAGCAATAGGAGCCGTAAAAATAACACAGGCTGGCTTGTAGGAACCAACTCCACTTTTGTCTTATTTGGAACCATCTGTAGTTCCACACATGTGGATTTTGCCAACATTTGCAAACCACAGTAGGTCTCTGATGTTCATTTCAATAGTAAGGACTAAATCTTATTTTGTAAGAATTATCTACACACTTGTTAATTTGACTTGATACATTTACTTTTATTTAGCAGTCAATAAAATGACCACAAAGGACAGAATATATTTATGAAGGATTGTAAGTGGGACAGTAGCTGGACCTAAGGCAATACAGCACTGAAAAGGAAAGAGCAATGCTTTTGCATATTCAGCAGACAGTAGTGCTGCAGGGCTCTGTAGCACAAGGTAGCCAGCATTCTCCATATTAAAATAACTCTGTGTATTTCCTGTTCCCAGGATCACATTATGCTCTGTGACTATCTCTAGCTCCTTTTTAGCATGCATTATAAAGGAGAGTGTTTATGATGATGCTCTTTTGTGTGCATATCTATGAGTGCCCTACCTCAAAATTTTGTGGCTATTGGTTGAAGTAAAATCTGACTGATCAATCTCAAAAAATAAACTTCTGACTTTTGTAATTAAAGCAGGGATCTAGGTTGAAGTCAGAACCCCTACTAATATCCTCATTGATAGGAAGGTTACAGTGTGGACTCAGCCCTTACCAAACACAATAGAATCTGCACAGAGATACATTGTGAGTGCTCTCACCACAAAAGAAAACATCGACACATTCCTCTTCTTAGATACCAGAGGATCCAAGTGGAATATATAAATGCTTAGGAAACTATACAGTGAGTCAGTGGCAAAGACAGAAATAGAAACATTGCCCTGCTTTTATTCCTATATTGGGCCAGGAAGGAGTGAAGTGTAAGCTTATGGGAGAGGGAGGAAAGAAAAACACAGGGGAAAAGAAAACACAACACTGTGTGGAAATTAGTGTGTGAAGTGGGTTGCAAATGATGTAAGCTTTGATGTTAACTATTTCTTGAATTTATCTTACTTGGGATAGAATAGGAAAGTTCTGAGCAAAATAATGGAAAAAAAATACTGATGGAATGGATAAATTAGCCTCTCATTACTTCAGAAAATTTGTAAGCTTGTTCCATCTGTGAAAAATACAAACTTATCCAGAGAATATATGTAAGACATATTGCAATATGTATAAAATTGCTTGATATTGTATGCTTTTTTAAATGCAATCACTGCATTTAAAATCTCTCTTCCTCCAAGAAGGGATTTATATAAGAAACCAAAATCAGTTTCCTTCTCCTTCCCCTTACTTTCTCCTTGTCTTATTTCTCCCTTGTAAAATTATGTCATCCTAGACTAAGTGCTCACATGTTGTATAGCACATATGATTAAGAGGAGACCTGATTCATAAATTAAAACTGAGCCTTTAACAGTTTCCTATGACTGCATTTGGAGCTCATGGCTCAGCTCACTGATGGGCTGGCTGGACAACTGAGGCAGGTTAAAACTCAGTGCTCAAACAGGACATGATAATCCAACCCAAGCCTCTAGGTGCCTCCTGGAGGGGCACTGCCATTGTCATGTCCTGTGCTGGGGTGCCACAGCTGGCTGGGGACAATGAGCCTGCAGCAGGAGAATGGCAGGGTCTGCTCCGTGCTGCGAGCTGTGAGCAGGGTTAGTGCCATGTGCCACTGATGGTGTGTGCTCATACAGACAGCAATGGAGGTTACAGCCACGCTGACCCAGCGACAGCAATTCTGCTTTGTCAAATGAACGTAATACCAACAGTGGTTAATTTAATAGTTAATTCAGTTTTGAGATCTTGTCCAAATGGGGCAGGATTATTATAACAATCTTAGGGAAGTGGTGTCAATTTTTAGTATGTGGTCACACTGTGTAAAATGTATTGAGGTACTGGTAAAATGATGCTGTGGCTAAGTTGTCCTCCTTGCAGCCTGAAAAGCCATTGATAGCTTGTGAATCAGACTAAAATGGGGTTTATGATTAGCTCTGGTGACTTTACAGTCCTGTTGGGACTGATTTTAAACGTCTTGGGAAAAAAATGTCATCAAAGGCAATAATGTTACATCTGAAACCAGTATGATTATCTATCTATCCATCTATTCGTCTCTGCATAGCTAAGGAATATTTTTGTACATATATGTGTGTCTGTACACTCATAATCTTGGATTTATATATTATATTCATGCTTTCTATGCCATGGGAGTTTTGTGAACTTGATCATATACTGAGACTGCTAACCTATTTGTATAGTGGATCCAGCATTTACTGTTGAAAATGTTAGTTTTTTAAAGAGATATGGATTAATTGTATGAGTGAACCGGAAGCTGATGAATAATTCATTGTTTCAGAAACTGTCTAGGGAAGATAGAGGAAGAATAACTCAATTGACAGCTAAGTATCAAAAGCATGTTTAGTCTGCTCAGACTTAAGAGAAATATTTGAATTTGTGTGATCCAATACAGAGTCCACTCTGTAGCTCTTCATATATTTTGAATTTAATATGGTTCCCTCAGTGATTTCACCTTGAATTTTTAGCAAATCAGCTCTTGAGTTTGGAATACTTTTAAAGTTAAGTAAGGACTAACTAAAAATATGTAATATCCAACCAAATTGCTTTTCTGGGAAAAGGGCTTGGTTTCTCTTCTGAATAGAAAAGCTAGAGATATCAAATTCACTTTTTGGGAAGGCCAGCCAAGCATTACTGTATAAGAGTTTATGAATTCCAGTCTGTGATGTGCTGTGATGCTTTCTATGACCTAAATTGGAGGGACTATTTTGCAATCAGAATTCCCATGTAAGGGCATTAGGAGAACAAAAACGATAGGTAAATGGTTTTCCACAACACTTACCGGTATCACAGCACAAGGGATACTCAGCTGTGAAGATGCCACCTCTTGCTGGCTGGACCACAAGCAGCTGAACTAATTTCTTAGAGAGATAAAGGGAAGTTGCAGTATTTTGACCCTTCAGGTCTCATATGAAAGCTGCCTATTTTTTCTAGCACTTAACCACTTAATGTGTAAGTACTTTCAGAGTTCTTGGGTATACCACCTAGACAAGATGACTGTTACACTTTTAAAATTATAGGTTTGCTCTGATTTATCTTATAGATACGCCTCAGTTTGAGAGAAAGCTTTGTTTTCATTACTGAAAAGATTAGAGCAAGAGTAGCTGTCTTCCCATCATATCCTCCAGTTTACAACTGACATAGAGAAGAAAATATTCTCCTTCCCAGGACTGCCTAAATCCTCTTTGATTATTCCCTTTATCCTCTAATGCTACAGGAAATGCACAGTACCACTTGGAGCCTTACCAACCCTTCTAATTGCTTTCTTATTCTCTCTCTGTTGTATTTTACTATTCCTGGGGCTGTTCTCAGTATTCAGTTTTGGAGCTGGAGCCCAGAATTCAAGAGGACTGCACTTTAGCTTTGAGTAGACACCAGTCATTTAGCCATCTTGGGTTTTTTGGCAAATTGCTTTTCAGTGATAAGGTCATTCTATTGCTTTCTTTAATCATTATTTTATTTATTTTATTGCCCAGAGCTAGCATTAAGTGAACCTCTTGGTTTTCCCCTTCTGATGTTCTTCCCTTTCTGGTGGC